AAACAGCCCTCGCGAGTCGCTTTCCTTTGGCGCTGAAGCGTCGCAGCAAAGCTCGCTTGCGCAGCCGTGCAGCGGCTCGGCCCGCGCGGATCTCGCGCTGAAACACCCACGCTAGCGGCAGAACTGCTGAGGGCTCCCAAATAGCCAGCGTTGCCCGGCATAGTTGTTGCCAGCGTCTCTGATGCCTCGGTATCGTTATATTTCAAATACTGAGTTGTGCTGTTTGTTTGTTTCAGGTACGCTTTATTTTAAAGAAATGGAAGTGCCTATGGCTATTTAGTAACTGATTTTTATATGAATATTGAAAGTGTGTTAGTTTTTTTTTTTTTAACTTCTCAGGCCGTGTTCCTTAGAAGACTGAGTATATACGAGTTACGTTCATGAGAAATTTCTCCATAGTACGCAGGTGTCGGAGGTGTAGGCAGCGGCGCAGCTATGGCCCCACACCACCTTGAAGCGTTGCGGAGTATTGAGTCCGTCCTGGAAGGTGTTAAGCGTGGAAGCTCCTACGGGTGATTACGTGCTTTCTGCCCAGGGACAGCTTCCCAAATCCTGATGCAACGTCTTTTGATTAGGCTCCGCTGCAAAAGCAGATTCAAATTAATCTACAAGTTCATGGTACAGCCTCATAAATTGTCACCATCAGCCTTTTTACTTTGTCCCCTCGTGCCAGGACAGAGATGACAGTGCGACTAAACTTCACCGGGACAGTAAGAAGTACTTCTAAGGCAACATGAAATTAGCTTGGGAACCTCACCACAGCAACACTGGGCAAATTATTTAGCAGAATGCACAGAAGGATTTTATTTCTGCAATTTAGGTCATCATATGCGTTTACAAAAAATACATAAGCCAGTGGGGCTCTCAGGTCTCATGTTCTAGCACATGAATGGCCTTATCTTGCTGAGATAGAAATCACAAGTAAAGTTTTTATTGACTGTAATGAAAGCAGAAAGCAAGTTCTCCAGATCTTGAAAGTAGCTGAGAACTTGCCGTTTCTTGGGAAATTGAAGCTGCAGATGTTTGACGACTCTTGGGACTTGGTCCAAATTAATCACTGCTGGAATCATGCAGCTATTTTCTGAATTTTGTAATAGCACACAGCTAGACCTTATTTTTCTAAACCTGAATGTTTATACTGCGCTTACGAGCATGGTCTTGCCTGAAATCACTTTTTTTGTTCTCGACAATAAGCTAGAGAGGAGTGTAGCAAGAAGAGAAAATACTGCTGTGGTGAGCGAAAAGGTTTTTACTCTGTATTTTACACGGATTGATGACAAATAGCAGAGAGCGTAGAGGTAATGAAAGGAATCAGCAAAGTGAGTTTAAGATGTAGTAGCGTTGTCTGTGGGTTTTTCTGGAGATCAGTAAATACCTCTAGTTAGTTAGTTAGTAGAGGAACGTGTAGTCTCCCTGTCGAGACGCGAACCAGCGACCGTCCTGCAGCACAGCAGGCCGCGAAAAGGCAGATGTAGCCAATTGCCCTCCAGATGAAGCGGCCCAGAAAGGGGGCAGTGCCTATGAGCCGCTTGCACTGTCTCTGCCCGGTGGGTTTTTCTGGAGATCAGTAAATACCTCTAGTTAGTTAGTTAGTAGAGGAACGTGTAGTCTCCCTGTCGAGACGCGAACCAGCGACCGTCCTGCAGCACAGCAGGCCGCGAAAAGGCAGATGTAGCCAATTGCCCTCCAGATGAAGCGGCCCAGAAAGGGGGCAGTGCCTATGAGCCGCTTGCACTGTCTCTGCCCGTTTGGGGGGAGAGGCGGGGGGGTTTTTTTTTTTTTTTTTTTTTTACCTCTTGACTGAACATAGTGCTCATAACAGCATGAGTCAGTAGCTCTTTGCTGTCTTTCCATGGATAACCTCACCTTTGCTTTCAGATAAGTTGCACAAAAGTTAGTGCTTAGTCTTTCACCCTTAATAATCTCACCCTTAAACACTCTCGGCCACAGACTCGCCTGGTTTGCGTTATCTTTGCAGCGTAGCGCTCACCGCTATTCTGCCCCTCCTCAGAGGATTGCTCAGTTGCCTGTAAATGGCCAATTTGTATACTCTGCATGGTGCTTTACCCGTGTGAGGTTCAGCCAAAATCAGAACAGGAATGAAAATATCCTGAAAACTGATATATGTGGGGACACTGTCCCCACACATCTGCTTTTACGCGCCAGAGTTCCTGAAAGTCGTAAAACAGCTTAGCCTATTAACGTGTATGCGATAGTAATTTTATGAGAGCTTCTGAGACACAAATACATATTTTTAGTTTTGTTTCTCTGAACGTTCAATAAAGCAGGCGCAGTGTTTATATTCGGCTTCCTGCATCCGCATCAGCGTTTTGGCATCTGATGGAGTTAGTAAAAAGGGGAAAAAAAATCATAACGATGGTTTGTATTGCAGTAATTGTGGTAGCGTCCAGACCTGACATCAGTGCCGCGTCTGTGGTGCAGCCGAGC